CACTTTAAGAGAAGAGACATTAATTTCTTATGTCAGGAAGGATACTGTGGGGTATTTCTTAAAGGTACTGCATACTTTCTCCTGCCACTGAGCAAGAAGAAGGTGTGGGATGGTACATGTGGGGCACTGTGGACATAAGACTGGGTCCACTGGAGGGAGGTCAGGAGACAAGTCTTATTTGCATTGGTATCCTTTGGGGTACATGATCTAGAGCAGTGAATGTGAACCTTTTAGAGACTGAGTGCCCAAACTGCGACCCAAAACCCACTTATTTATCGCAAAGTGTCAACACTGCAATTACACCTGAATGCTGAGATTTTAGTTCAGAAAAAACAACTCATAAATTAACATCTTTTGTCTTAAAAGAAAAACACAATAACAAAACTTTCAATGATACAAACAACCTGCTGTGGCACGTGTGCCATAGGTTCAGCACCACTGGTCTAGGGGCTGGCATACCACACACTGCTACTTATTAGATGGCACAACCCAGACCCTTCTCTGCACATTCAGGATCACTGGCATTGATAGTTACTAAGCTCTGCCCTCACCCACACCCACACAGGGCTGCCTGCCTCGAAAGTGCAAGGTCCCGAGTTTGATCCCAGGTACCAAAAAAAAAAAAAGTGAAAATACTCTCAAAATTGATTAAAAAATGAAGAGTAATCTGGTGGCAAGTGACAAAGATCAGAAATATGAGATCTTAACTATATGTATTCAAATGTGTAGTCAATGTCTTTGATATAAAGAAGATTCTGGAAATTCTGGGATTTGGGATGTGGAGGATAAACAGGGAGGAGTGAGCATGGCTCAGTTTTCTCTCTTGGACCAGCCAAATCAGACCATGGGAGAAATGGTGGGAGGGGGACAGGCCATGGCAGAGAGGGATCCTACATTCATATTAACAACAGCTGTTAAACCAAGTACAGATGCTGGATGGACATGAAGTGCTGTCCCCAAAAGTGGAGGCTGCAGAAGTGCATGTGGTGGTTGGACAGACTCTGCATGCTAAGTGCCACATAAATGCCTATGCAGGCATGTAAATCTTTATGGAGTGACATCAAAGCAAAATGAGAGTTCAGAGAGCTATTAAACTGCTACAACGCAATGAAAGATAATTCTGTTCTCTTCTAACTGACACTGTCTAATGCTCCTAATGCTCTGGGGTGCTCGCCCTCAATGAGATACATCAATCTCAGGAGTGCAGTACCATGTGAACAATTAAAGACCAAACCAAAGAAACTCAGGGCATGTTTGGAAGAAATAATTTGATCTGTTAATTTAGGCATCCATTTGACAAATATTTATGGCCTTTCTGCTACTTGGCAGGTACTGGGACAGACTAGGAACTGATTAAGGACAATTGTGTCTGCCAGAAGAACAGAGTTACCAAGTACAGTTACCCATCTACCCTGATATCCTGAGAAATGTGTCTTCAGGGTTTGTATACATGGTAGAGCATGTATACACAAACTAAGACAGATAAGACATCACCAGGAGACAGAGTAATGCGATGACTGTTATATATGTGGTTTGTCGACCAAATGTGCTGCAGAGCGTGACTGTAGTTATAACAGAGGTGAACACAGGTCCTAGGTTTGGGGTATGTGCCTGTGTGTTGTGTGTGTGTGTGTGTGTGAGAGAGAGCGGGAGAGGGAGGGAGGGAGAGAGAGAGAGAGAGAGAGAGGGAGAGAGAGAGAGAGAAACTGATATCGGAGCCAGATGTAGAAGGGCAGGGTAGGCCTGTGCCAGGAAGCAGTGTCCTCAACAAATTAATCTGGAGGTGTAAGAGGTCAGCTGAATGGCAGTCTGGCCTCCTGCAGCATGGAAGACTTGAGTGTCTTTCTGAGTCGTAGAACGAAGGCCAGGATCTAGGATGGAGAAAAGTAGATAGGGTCAAGGCTCATGCATGAGATGGGATGGTCAGGTCTTGGTGACCATGTACCCTGCTATGAACAGCTGGTGGAGAGGTGGTATCACTTGCCAAAAGCAGGAACACAGGGAGAGAACAGCTTTCATGAGATACACTGGTGGGTGCCCATCAGCAATACAGCAGGAAAGTGTTGGGGTCTGACTCCTGAGAGTGAGAACCAAAGCAGAGATAAAGCTGCCAGTCTCCAGGGTGACCTTTTATGAATGCTGCTTCTGAGGACTTGGGAAGGGGAATCTTTGGGTCAATGACTGCCATGTGCAAGCACACTTGCCACGTGCTGGGCACAGAGTAGTAAGTCAAAGCACCAGCCTTGATGAGTGTGTCCTGCAGCAGGAGCAACAGACAAGAAAGAAGAACATGCATAGATAAATGAAATCTTAGCAAGCCATGGTGGGTGGGGCTGGTTCAGTTAGCTTTCTGCTGGTTTGTCTCGGTGGGACATGTGTCTGCCTCTTCTGGAGGTCACTGCTTGCTCTCCGTGACCTCCTGGAGCTGAGCCATGCGGCACATAGCTGGAATACCTGCTGGCTTCCTCCAGCTTCCAGAGATGCTTCGTGAGCTGCTGTCTCTTACAACGAGGAGCCCTTAACACACCTACGAGTGCTTCTGGATTCCTCAGGATTAAAGCCTGATGCACAGACAGTGTAGGCACCCTAACCTGTGCCCAGATGTGTGGCTGTCAGTAAATGCAACACTATATGGACCAGGCCCTTCCTGTAAGACTCCACCACAGGATTACTTCATCTGGGCAATAATCAGACTTCAAAACACAGGTGGAGTGTTCGGAGCACCCTTCCTACTTTTTAAGTAACTTGTCAGATCTGTCAGACCACAGCATTTGTAAGAAATACCTGGGAGGCCAAGCCTAGATGTGACCTATGTGGAATACAGATGTGTTTTGATTGACTTTATTATTATAGACAACATTAAATCTTATTTATTTGCACCATCTTAAATTTAAATCATGAACTTTTGATTCTCCAGCCTAGAATGATTCATCAAGATAGGATAAATGCTACAGTATAATGTTAAGTGAAAAAAGCAGAATATAAATATATACTCATGTTATGATCAAAATTCTGTAAAAGTTATCCATGTATATGAACAAAGCTTGCTTACACAAACAAGATCGTTGATGAGGAAAACTGTCTTTGCATTCTATAGGAAACTAAGAAAAATAACTGCAGAAAAGGAAACCTAACAACTTACTAAAAGGTTACCTAGTTAGGAAGTTCATGATGGAAAAACCCTGGTACAAACTTGACTTTTTGAAAAGAGAGTGTTGCCTATTTAGAAAACAGCAGCTTAAGGTTCTCTGTGTCTTTAGCAAACAGAAAATAAGTCAGCCTCACTTCAACTAAGTTACCAACATGACAGATACCGATTACTCTGTTGGACCACACTTGTGAGACCCCATGATGTCAGGAGGTGCTGGGAACAAATGAAATGGAACCCTCCCAAAAGGAGGAGCCAACATAAAGAACAGGCTCGCTTGCTTGCTCTTTCTTTCTTTCTTTCTTTCTTTCTTTCATGTTTGGTACTGGGGATTGAACTCACAACCTTGAGCTTTTGAGGCAGGCACAGTGCCACTGAGCTAAATCCCCAGCCCTAAGAATATACTCTTTGAAAATAGAGAGTTGTATTTATCAAAGCCCAGGCTGTACTTTACCTGTAAATTCTTCATCCCTTGTCAGTACAGATACATAGTTCAGAAACAAAATTCTCAGATACTGCCTCACATGTAAGAAAATACAAGTGATGCCCACCAAGCTGCTGACAGCTGAGGAACACTGTATCCTGCACACAAAATGATCCATTTACAGTGAAGGAGTCTCCTTGTGGAGCCTTGGTCAATCTTCAGAAAACCACTAGTCAGATACAAACTCCTGCAAAAAGTCCTAAGGCTAGAATTTAGAACCAAGAGCTGGATATGCTCCTAAGACAACAAAGAAAACCATTCTCCACTACTAGGCCATTTCCCCACCCTACTCCACTTTATAGATAAGGAAACATATCCAAAAGGAAAGGAAGATCATCAGGACCTCATAACAAGCCCATGGTCAGAGACTCTGGATCTCTCCACTGTCTAAAGTATTTTCTCTTGGCCCTGGCTTGATGTAGCGTCTATGAATCCCAGTTCCAAAAAGGCTCAGCAAAGCCCATTGTGGATCTGAATTACAGAACACGTACAGATAGAAAGGAGACCTGTTCCTGCTTTGCTATAGCAGCTCTAATAATATTAATGATGTTCAGAGATTTATTGATACAGGCAAACATACAACTCCAACAGGTGGGGATGGGAGGGTGGTAGTAATTTCATTTTCTTGTCAACAAAGGAAGGTATCTATGTAATTTTTTAAATTTTTGGATCGGTGTCTCTCCAGAACTGAGATGAAGCTCAGGTGATCATGTCTGTCATTCCCTACAGATCCTAAGTCACTTGGGAGCATAAGAATGACAAATAGGACCAGTGGACTCAGGCACTCTGAAATCTGTCCCACTTTTCTAAAATAAGGACTTGGAAGTCACTGTCTCTTACAATGTTTAACAACCATTTCTTAAGTTTTAACTCTTTAGTTTCTTTAAAAGAAAAAACAGCCCTCATGCTTATAGCTAAAAGGACTATCAGTTTTAACCCTTAACTGAAAATCTTGCCCCGAGGTCACTAATCCTGGACGAGGCAGAGGGGAGCGAGGCATTCCAGGTGTCCTATCAGTGACATTCCTGAAGCCCTGCAGGTAGCATCAGTAGCCCAAGAGTGCTTTGCACAGTGGCACTCACACATCTCTGCTATGTGCAGCACTTTGCAATGCAGCTCTAGAGATTTGGGTTTGTGTATTTACAAAGCATCAACTAGAGATCATGTGATTATTCTAATAGATGCATTGAATTTCCATCCCTAAAAGTCTGGGTTTTGGAGTATGTGTTCCCAGGACTTGCTGGATTCCTGGAGGAAGTTGCTCTGAAGGGCCATTTCCCTAAGGAAAGCTGAGAAGAACAAATCCGAGCCCCAGCACCTCAGCAGACAAGGTCCCCCGAAGGTATGCTTACCAGGGTCCCCGCTTACCTGGAACATCAATTAATCTCTTGTAGACATTCAAGAAGGCTGCCTCGGCTTCTTTGCTTCTTTTACTCAATGCATCAATCTGAAAGGGAAAGAAAGAAGAAGAAAAACAGACAGCTCAAAATTTGCTGAGAGGCAATTTAAAAATCTATAAGGTATCTAGTGAGTTCCCACAGCAAATCCAAGTGTGATCTCCCTCACAGATGCATGACAACTGGGCTGTCAACCTCTTAAAAGTGCCTACCAATATAGCAGAATGACAACTGCTGTGGGCCCAGGTCCTAGTAAGGACCTAGTAGTGAGGCAAGTGTAGTGCTCACCAGGCTGAAAAGTGACCACCATGGGGGGTCTTTCACAGTGAACCCTTTCTGATCTCTGTCTTCCTGGACCAAGTGCTGAGTCAGAGCCAACCAGGTGCCAGGCAGAGCTGAGGGCAAGGCAGGGAGACACAGTGCCTACCCAGGAGCTCTGGTCTGGTGGGGGAAACAGGTAAGCCAACAAGCTATTAAGTCTTAGTTGGGAGTGTGCTAGGTAGGGTACCATGGGAACATGGAGGAAGGGAGGCTGGGGACCTTTGAGCAGTTCTCAAGAGCAATTCACTAGGGCGGACAGGTAAGATGCTACATATGTAAGGGGAAGAACATATCTGGAGCAAAGTTCTTAGGTCTGGGAGTTTAGAGATCCTCTTTAAGAATTCTATAAATGCCAAGGACCCTTCTAGAACTCTCTCTCATGTATTCTAAGACCCTCATATATCCACTTATGTTTCACACATGGATTCCAGGTTAAGAACCCACACATGAAGCTGTAATATGCCATGGAATATAGGGGATCAGTAAGAATCTGATGGAAGGAACACAGACATATATGCAGGAGTTAAGGGAGTCAAGACAGGGCAGGTGAGATGGGTCAGATCACAAGAGGCCATCAGCATACATGAATCAGATTAATCATCTGTGAACTGGTCAGTGTGAATGGAGCACAGGAAGGGGCAGAGAGCAGGATATGGCTCAGATGGTGTTGGCCTTGTCCAGGAGGACAACGTGAAGGGTGGGGGCTACTCAGAGAATCTTGGAATGCTCAAGCCAATGTGAGGCACAGATGAGTTAAGGACTTGCCTGAGTTTCCAGACTGGGCAAAGGTGGAATCTGTGATGGTAGCTAGGGCTTGTTTATCCCATGAACTGAGCCAGCTCATTTCCCCCAGTGTAGATGTCTTCTCCTTAAGGTAAGGTGTGAAACCCCAAGCAAACTGGAAACATGTCCAAAGAGTCTCCAATTTCAGATTCTCTCATTCCAGGATTTAGCTCACACCACACAACAGCTAAGGCAATGGTTCACTTTTTCTATCTGCACTGTGCAAGATTTTACATGTACCCCATTCACACTGGCTCAGGAAAAGGACACTAAATTATATATTTCTCTTGTCCCTTTGCTCTCAGTCTCCAATGTTATTAAGGAGGCAAAGGATGTGGCCCAATTACAGGGCCTCTCACCTGAGCCACCCCACAATTTGTTAAGGGCTGAGAGGCCACATGACCAAGCAGAGGAAATGCCTAGGAGGGGGAGCCACCAAGGAGAAGGAGCTGTGGATTGCTGATTCTTAATGAGCTGGGCTCTAAAATCCTCATCTGAAGCCAGCTTTTCAGAACTCAGATCCCCCCCACAATAAAATAAGACTGTCATTTAAGTGTTTAGAATAATCCACAAAGACTATTAACACAAGACGGTTCTTTTAAAAATACCTCCTTCCCACTACCCAATCATTAACAATACATATTCGGAAGTATCAAACATTTAGAAAAGAAAGTTAAATTTGTAATTCTACCATTCACCAGGGGAAGTCATACTGTCTGGTCTGTATTTCTCCTCAAGTTTTTTCTAATTAAAAAAATAGTTGAATGGAATGTAGGCATATAGGAAAACTAGAGATAAAATGTCTAGGGCTAGGTGGGAAATGGGGGGATGGTTGGAGTAGGCTAGCTAAGGGGGCATGTGGGATTCTTTCTGGTGTGATGAATATGTCCTACATTGTTATGGTGAAGGTCACCACACAGTGAATATATGGAAAGTCAACAAACTGCAGACTTTAAATGGGTAATTATATGGTACATGAATTCTATCCCAATAAAGCTATTTAAAACGTGTGTGCATATATTTGAAATCAAATTATACATAAAACTTTACACTGTTTTCTTTCACTAAGATATATATCTTTCTCAATAGCTATTGCAGATTTTGGGAAATGTCTTATCAACACTATTTCAACTGCATTTAACCATCATATACACAGAGGTCTGGGGTAATATGGGACTCGGGGGTTGCCTTCAGATATCTGGAACATTCCAAGTACACTTGCCTACTCTCATGCTGCCTGCCAGGCACCCATCTAAAGGCTTTCTGATTTGCTCAGGATTGGCCTAGGGAGGGTTTTATACTTCCCAGGTGTCCCCCTGAAGGCACAAAGGTGGCCACCTCTCTGGTGGGTAAAGGATAGATCTTGAGGCTTGCAAACACTGTCCTCACTCCTGTGAGCATGGGCACATGGGGGTGGTGGCTGATAATCTGCATATCACACTGGCCTAGGGAATAGTAACACGTTGAATTGTGACTTGCAAAAGATATTGGAGTCCTAACCTCCAACAGCTGTGAATATGACCTTCTTTAAAGATAAGGTCTTTGGAGGTGATCAAATTGGGATGAGGCCATTACTATGGGTCCTAATCCATCATGACTTTATAAAAAGGGGAAATTGGGACAGAGAGAGACATATACACACAGGGAATGTCATGGCAAAAAGAAAGGTGGAGATCAGGATGACCCATCTACATGCCAAGGAGCACTGGAGACTGACAGCAACTACCAGGTGCTAAGAAAGGGGTCTGGGACAGATTCTCCCTCCCAACCATAGTACAGTACCTGGTGCTGGTCACATTCACACCTTAACCTCTGCCTTCCAGCTGCTAGGATTTGAGACAATCATTTCTAGCCTTTAAGCCATTCAGGTTGTGATACTTTGTTATTACAGCCCCAGGGAAACTAATTCAGGGACCATGATTCTCAGCTCTCTTCCATAAATGCAAGGAAGTTCATATCCAGTCCAGAGAGGATGAGAACAAGACACTGAGTTGAATTAATTCTTTATGCAATTGGACTATGAAGTTTCTTAAGAGATGCTGATTATTCATTCTATGTGTGGCTTAGTTTCTACCTTTCTGCCTCCTTATAAGACTTTCAAAAACATCTGGAACAGGGCTGAGGATTTAGCTCAGTGGTGCAGCTGCCTGTCTCACAAGTGCAAGGTCTCGAGTTCGATCCCTGGTAGCAAAAAGGAAAAACAAAACAAATAAACCCCATCTGGAACAATCTGACTTCCGGAAACTTTGACATTTGGCTCCTCTCCACAGCTACAAGATAGTCCTAGATGCCTTCTGGTCCATCTCCCTTTTCCAGCTGATCTTTTCTGTGGTGGCTTTTCTCTCTCTGCTGACACCTGAGAATTCCTTCTCACAGTCTGTGACTTATTTCCTGGCTTCTGGTCACTTGGAATAGCGTTTGAGGACATCTCAGAAGACCTGCCTGTGTTCTGAGACTAAGCGCAAGCTCCATTTTCCAGACCTAGCACTGGGTTCCCTCGGACTGGTAGGGTTGGGGGGTGGGCACCCAGACACTGGAGCCACCTGGGCTGGCTTTGAATGCCAGCTCCATGAGATGACAGCACCCATCTGCCAAGCCTGGGTAAGCAGATGATCTAACACAAGGGACATGCTCAGTGCCCAGCCCAAGGAGGTGCCACCTGACACTGATTTTGTCCTCTCGGAGAGCTTTTCTCCAGGTGGCCATGCAGCTACCTCCCAGGAAGAGGACAGGACTCTCCTGTGTGCCCCTCAGCATTCCCAGAGAGAAGTGGGAGACTTCCCACCTCACTTGCTTCCAGAGTGCTGGGCTCACCTGCTGCGTGCCAGGGGGGTGGCTGGGGTGGAAGCTCCTGATAAACGGAAGGTTTGTGGAGAAGGTTCAGGGCAAGGTCCAAAGGCAGAGTGTGGAGTTAGGATATACACAGTAGCTCCTTCACGTGCATGGGTGAACCTAGGGTAGAGATTCTCCTTACAGTCCCTGAGAGAAGTGCCAAGGACAGAGGTACTGTCATGGTGGCCACTCAGGGTATGCCAAGGGGAAAGAAAACTCATTCTGCTCTAAGAGACCAGGTTCACCTCTGGCTACTCTCCCCACTCAGGCCACACCCAGTCACTCCCTGTTCCCTGAAAGCTGCAGTAATTTCCACTCAGCCTGGAAGGCGCCTACTTGGAATGTTCCCTGATCCTGGGGCTCAGCAAGGATCCACTTCTCAGCTGCAGCCACTCCCACTACCCTGGGGGATTGTCCCAGAGTGCCTGGACCTCAGACAGGGGCCCTCCTCTCAGGAGATTCCAAATTCCTTGAAAGTCCACACCGTGCTGTTGGCTCCACTGTCTTCTCCTTCCCAGGGACTTGTGCACAATAGGCACTAACATACTCTAAATGTGTGAATAAAACCCCACCTCCGATGACCAACTGTTTTATCTGCAAAACTGAGCTGACAGCTAAGGAACCAAATCTTTATGAAAATTCGTAATATGCCAAGTGCTCTCTGTGTCGTAAGCATTTGTTCTGTGTGCAGTTGGCTGGCTGCAGCCATCAAGAGCGTCACCTTTCCCACTGCACACCCCAGGTGCTCCTGAGGTATCTTCCTGCAGTGAGCCTCTTGGTCTCTTGCCACCGAGATGCCCAGCATATTCTACTTCACAGTACTAGAATGTGACTTCACTTTCATAATGCTGAGTTTTACCCAACAGGAATTAAAGACACATGTATTTTACTCAAAATCTCAGTCTTTGCTTATAGAACTAAAAATGCTTCGAGTCCAAGCACTGAGGAGCAAGTTCACAGAATTCTGTGAGAGAACTGAGATTTAGAAGGAGTGAGAAAGTGCTACTGCTCCCAGGCATTGTCCACTTGCCTGTCCATCAAACGTCTGTGTCCATGGCCACAAGGCTGGGTACAGTACCAGTCTTGGTGCTGGAGGTGTATAGCACCTTCCAGG